GTAACTTTATGATGGATCTGGAATGGGGTGGAAGTGAGGACTTTGCACTTCCACCCCATCCAAGAGCAAAGATAATGCAAAATCCTCATTTCCACCCCATTCCAGATTCATCATAATGCAAAATCCTCACTTCCACCCCATTCCAGAACACCCACAATTCCCTCACTAACTTGCTTTCCAGCTCTGTTCTCCTGTGTGCAGGGCAACAAAAGAAGACCATGTGACTACCAGTTTAAAAAAAGTTCAGTCAGACCTTCCAACTTCTTGGAGAAAAAAAGATCTCGCAAAGTTGAAAGGTCTGACTGAACTGACTGATTAGCCTCCCAGATCGCAGCTGCTGGTCCCTTGCTGCCTCCCAGCTGATCAGCATGGATCCCAGTCATGCAGCCTCCCCACCTTGAATGGCAACCTGGTGGGTGGGGCAGAGCAGGTGGGCGGGGCGATGGGCGACCTGGCAGGTGGGGCGACCAGGCAGGTGGGGGGCAGGGGCAGTCATTTTCCCTCCCAGTTTGGTGAACCAATCAAATTTTTCTCTTCATGGATGCAAGAACTAGTTTGAACCCTCTGAATACCACCCCTGTTTGGATGTTAGAACTTCCTGGAGCTGGGAATTTTTCCACCCTTAGCTCTGGAAGGTGTTGCACTACCCCAGACAGAATTGGTGTGCAATTTGTGGGTCCTTCTGGATTCAAAGCTCTTGTCCTTTGCATAATTTTATTTTGCATACCAATTGTGCCCTTTCTTGGAGCAGGAGGCATTGAGTCTACCCTATTGGTGAATGTTAGGTTCAGGACTCATTTTGTGCTAGCTTGCTGGAACAGTATTTTTTATTTCTTTAGTATACTGTGTATTTTTATTGTGTTTTAATTCCTGTTAGCTGTCCAGAATCACATTGGTGAATTGGGCAGTGACATAAATTGATATGTGATAAATAAATAACCATACTTAGCAGGTATGCAAATCATGTTACAGAAACTCATATACTATATGTAGCAATTCTGACAAATGCTCTTAAAATAGATCTGCTGTAGAGCTGTGATTACTGAGAATGTCCTTCACCCAGAAGTTCCCATGGTCTTATCCTTCATAGCATGTAACTGCAGTACATATAATGGTACATACATACTAGGGCTGGGTGGGTTCACACACAAAAAATTAAAAGCCTAACTCAACTTAATTTATATGGCTGATTTGGTTTGGCTCATACAACTTGCTAAAACAAAGGATGGATTTCCACAAGGTGCTGAATAGTTAACTATCCAAGCCCATTTTATTTGCCCCTTAATACAGCAACTGGGGTGAACTCAGTCATCAGATACATTTTTTAAAAAAATCTCTACTTCCACTTCAGCCAACTTCCGCCTAAATTGTAAAATAAAATTCATTTTTCCTCCAAACATCCTCAGCCTTGATTTTGTAGAGATTCTTCCTGTATAAAAGATGTAGATATGCAAATTTCTGGTCCAAGCTTCACTCCCCCTCCCTTGTAATCAGCTTGGATAACAATAGCTAGGTTGCCATAGAGGATGCAGGCTTGTCTTGACAGCCGTGGTGTGGGTGGCTTAGATTTTCTATGATGCATCCTTCTGAAGCAGGACTACTGCCTTTCCTTCTTCATCTGAAGAAAATCACATCTTTTGTGTGACATCATCCTCAACCCACCTGGCTCATCAAGAGATTACTCAGGCAGTTCCTTCTTCCCAAGAAGATGCTGCCCAATCAGCTGCCTCGTTGTCTTAGCCAATCAGCTGGCTCAGAGGTGATGTCATGGTGTGAACTTGGCAGCCTGGTGGATGCTAAGTGGATCTTTTAGCATCACTCCCTGAACGAGAAGCTGGGAGCGGCTGAACCAAGGACTGGACTTAAAAAGAGGTAAGTGCAGCAAGATTTAAGAAAGGGTCCCATCGGGAACTGGGGGTTGAGCAAACAGAGGAAAGAATAAATGTTCTACCAGCTGGATTTTCAAAATAAGGAATGCCAGTAGGTACAGACAAGACTGTTGGGCAGGATCCATGAATATTACTCTTGGCTTTTGGAAACCAGCACTTAAGACTCTGGTTTCTTCTGGTCTTTCCATCCTATTCAGATCTTCAATTGCCTCTTTGCATATCTGACATATTAATGTCTGTTTTAGTACTTTCATAAACACATTCTGTCTCTGTATCTTGCTTTCCTTTTATTGGTGACCTCATTCTTCCAACTCTGAATATTTAGTACTTTTTTCTTTTTCTTTCTGTGCTGATACTGAATGTATTATCAAAACAGATTTGTTTTCTTTTTTCTCCCCTGTCTGCAAAGTCCCTTTTCCCTCCTCTTCCTTCTTAATACTTTCTTATTTTATATCATTGCATTTTTAACCATCACCATACCAAGAAATAGCTGCTTCCTATTACTTGTTGTAATATGTGTAATACACTTCACATAACCTGCTTAGTGTCCTGTGATGCAATCTAAAATCTGAAGCCCTTGGGATGTTGGGCAGAGAGAGAACAGTAATTTTAGAGCTGCAACATTGTGGAAAACAGCTTCCAGACAGTAATAGTAAAGTCTGGTAACATGTTGAAGACAAACATTTATATGACAGCAGCTTTCATGAAATATAGTTCATTTAGAGACAATGCCCCCATTCTGTGTGAGGTTATATTTTAATCTTAAATACCACAAGTTTTCCCTCAAAAGGAGAACATGGGTATTATCACAGGGGCAAGTAGGGTTGCTTTGGAGATCTGGATGTGGGGGGCCAGTGGATAGTTACAGACATTTCTTTCTTCCCCTTCACAGTTGTTTCTTCTCTTGCAAATTTGCAATGAACTCACTATGATCCAGACAAACTAACAATGGGCAAGGCTGCTTTTATGGCAAAATACTTTCAGAAGGCAGGAAAGAATAGGCCAATTAATTGGATGTGGAATTCAGATCCCTGAAACATCCTGGCTTTCTCTCTTTATTATTTCTTTGTTGATAGAAAGTTTCTTGTGTTCAACCTGGGCTGCTTATTGCTGAAACCTCAGAAACCAGAGGAATGGCTGCATAAATTTACTGTGCTCAAAGGGAGAGTTGCTTTAGTAGTTTTCTAAAGCTGTTCTTATCCAGAAAATCCAAGATTAACTCTCACCATCACTCCCACCCCCCCAAAAGAGAAAAGCATCTGGACTTCTTCATGTCTGTAAAAAGAAATAGATTTTAAAAATAGGAGTGGTCAAATTTGGTTTTCTTGGTAGACAAGCTAGCAGATCCCTCCCCTCAAAGGGAAAGTTGTGGAGTTTTTATAGTCTTTTAATATTGGCATAAAGTTAGCTCTGTTAATTTGGAAATGCTCTTTCTGTGACTTGTATAATGATTACATTCACCCATCGCCTCAACCCTGGTTTCCTTAGGCTAAATGTTACTATTCACTGGCTAAATCTTTCTACAGCAGTTCTTCTCCATATTTAGTTTTTTTTTCTCCGCCTACTGCCCCCAATCCCCCAAAATACCTCCAACTGCCTAGGGACATCAATAGACTATTCCAAAGTCTTTTGATTCCATTTCTGGCTGAAACTTTCTCAATTCATGATATGATCCTCTTTTCACCCCAGATTTCACCGATGCCAATCAGCCCGCTTCCACTTTATGCTTTTTGTATCTTGAAGGTACTCTGATTTAAAATAAAAGATGAGGGAGCCTCAGGGCTTATATCAGTCAACCATCAGAGGGGTTTTCTTCCCAAGGACTCTGTTTTAATCACCATCAGACAACCTTGGCAAATGTGAAGCATTACAGTGATAAAGAAGCTGCAGAGTCCTTTCCAAATAGCTCCAGGGCAGAAAAGAATGATTGGAAATGACAAGTGCACACATGGAATGCTTTGATTGGTTATGGGTTTCCCAACAAGTCACATGTTATCCAGTGCAGGTGGACAGCAAATGTAATCTTTCCTGTCTGCTCTGAAATTCCTCCCATGTAAGTAAAAGCAATAAAATCAGATTTCTGTGGCATGAAGTAATTAAGCACAGCATGTTCAGCTCCAACCCTTTGCTCTCTTCTCCTTTCCTTTATATTTGCAGATAATGTCTAGGCTGCGGGTTATCTCATGGCAGGAGAGCCATGAGGCTTCCTTCCCTCACTGCTTCTTTCCTTTTGATTTCATTAGTGATATCCGAAAGAAGGCCAGCACTCCATCTTTTCTCCCTCCTAGTCAGTTCTTAAAATGCCTGAACAAAACCTGCAATTATTTGTCAGGGGTGGGCAGAGTCTTGCCTGGAAAAGGGAGAGATGCCAAGTTATTGGTAAAAATAAAAATGGAAATGATTAAAGGAGAGAAAGCAAGCATTCACACCTGTGTGATGAACCTGTGATATACATTAGCAATGGTGGGTTTTATTTTATATATATTTTTAGAAAAATAGGAATCAGCATGTGACCTTTTCTCTCTTTTTCCCTCCCACATCTGGAGATGAAGGCTGAGAGGCCTCTCCCACTTCCATGGCATTTATCTCAAATGGGTGTGGGATGGAATAGTTACTGAAGGGGGAGGAACAGCTGTTTTCTCTTTAATTTTTTTTAAAAATATTTTTGTGTGGAAATTGATTCACTTCTTTATAACCTAACCCCGTGTTCCAGCCACCACACCTCTTGAGTAGCTTTGTACAACCACCAAATAAAAGAACAAAGTCAAAGATAAAAGAAAAGGCACAGAGCAAAATCAAAATAAAGACAAAGTAAAGGGAGTGTGCAGTGTAAAGATCTAAAAAGCACGAATTTCAGGTTGTTGGGTTAAAAAAAAAAGAAATCTAAAAGAACACCAAAGGGAAGAAATAGATAAGATTTCACTTGACATTAAAAATGGCACAGCGGAGATAACAGGGTCCTTCTGGGTTATGGCTGTGTGTTTGGAAACATATGAGCACTTAGTTTCAGGAGAGTGAAAGGTGTCCGATAGTTAATGAAATAAGCCCATTTTGTACAGATGCAAAATGTCTGCAAGTTCTCCAGCTTGTCCTTTATGAACGAGGCTGCAGTGTCAGGTCTTTATCAGGCCCTCCTCTTTCTCCTCCTCCCTGCCTGCTTTCAGTTGCTGTGAGCTCATCCCACATTATACAGTACAGTGCTGTGGCTTCTACCTCCCTCCCTCCCTCCCCCTCTCTTATCAACCAAGCGCCACACAGCATGCCTGGTGGAGCCATTGGAAAGACAGCAGCATTTCTCTTTCCAAGCCTAGGGCTCCCTCCATGGGTTCGCCTCCCAGCCACCCCCCACACCTCCCGAGCCGGCTTCTTGAGTGCTTTCCCAGGAACCAAAGCCAGGGGTGGGTGGGCTTAGCAATAAAGGAATAATGGTGACGAGAGGCGGTGGGCAGATCTCAGCCAGTACCCAGAGCTGCCGGTGAAAGTGTTGAGCGCATGATCTCCTAACAAAGGAAAGGAGAGCTGTGGATCTTGGGGACTGAATGATGTCCCCTAATAGGATGAAAAGGAAGGGGGCTGCGGTGACCAAACAACATTTTTAGAAACATATTTCCTTTACATGAAGGAAGAAGAGCTTTTTAAGACTACTAGGTAGGCAGAAAGAGGTGGGGACAGCGACAGGGAGACTGGCGATGCTCTGAGAGGGATGAAGTTTTGCATGCAGAACGTGTCTTCCAAGTGGAGCAGCAGGAATTTTTCTGAAATTGTGTGCAAACCTCAGTCAAATTCTAGAGGCTTAACATTTAACAAGAGGACTTTTGGGTGTTGTATTTGTTAGCTGTTGTTAATTCAAGCAGGTAAAAACAAAAAAAATAAATTCATTTTTAAACTAACATCAATCCTAAGAGGCACCTTTGTCTTTCTCAGTGTCATGGCCCACTCCTGGGAAGTTATCATGGGGAGAGGGGGAAGTGATTCGGAACATGTGGTTCCTCTCGCAGGAACAATTCTCATTTGGTTTTGGGAAATAAATACAGCATTGTTCCTATACTCAGGTCTAAAACTGATTTACAGAATGTTTTTTGGGAGCAAGCAAGCAGCCCTGGAAATACATCCCCACTCCAGTTTAGCAGATTTGACTTTCTGAATTGAGCTAAAATCTAACCACCCTTTTTGGATCGCTAGTTCTGTACTCCACTGTTCTTTTGTACTTGCCCGCTGCAAATATTCTGTGCTCAATTGACAGTGGCCCCCAACCTTTTGGGCACCAAGGACCGGTTCCATGGAGAGAAGTTTTTTCGTGGACCGGAGGGGGTGTGGTTTCACATGCTGCCTACATCCCATGGATTTTGTGCGGCCTGGTCTCTGGCACGCCACGGACCATAGGTTGGGGATCCCGGCTCAAAGAGACGTCACTGAGAATTCCAGGCAAATGGACTTCTTTCACTAATGGGATTAATAATGATTTTTTTTTTTTAAAGATTGAGAATTACATATCTCCAGATGGTTGAGAAAAAGCCATCTAATAATAAGTAATTTTAAGTTTTTATTGTAGTTCTAGTTTTATTGTAGTTTTATTGTAGCCTTGTAGTTCAAAGTCCAATTTATGTATTGCTTACAGAAATGGCTTAAGAGTTCATTTTCTAACCTACACTCCCTAAAAACTCGGAAGTTTCTTTTTCACTGCTGTAACCTATTGGGTCTTGTAATTAGTAAGTAGGATGATCCTTATGATTTCACAAAAGCTGGGTAAAATCAAATGAACAAAGAATGAATGTATGGAACACTGCTTTTTCCAAGCGTTTCTTGTAGCAGCATCTGGAAGTATCCATGCATATACATCAAGATGGTCATTGCTAAAGCAAGGCATTAGCCTACATTATATGAAGGGAACTGAATCTAAAACATCTCTTATGTTCCACCTGTGTGTCATGTTCACACAGAACTGAATGATTCTTTCAGCTGGAAATTTACTCCCATATCTTAAATTGGCTTGACTATAAAAAAAAAAGTGTTTCCAATTTTCTTGTTATTCTTCCTCCCCGTTCCATTATGATCTGATTCATGTAATCATGGTTTGACAAATAAATTACTGTCATCTGAATTTGCACATATGCTAGGCCTGAGCTTCATGGCTGAGCACAATACCTGTACCCAGTGGGCTCTGTTTGCCAGCCCTTTTTCAAGATCTCTACAGATTTCTTAAAAGGCAGGGACCTAAATTGCTTCTGGGTGGAGCAGTTCCATCTGCTATTTCTTCTATTGAAAAAGTCCCATTGTGTGAGCTGCATTCTCTCTCCCTGTCTGTGAGAGCTGTGTTCATGCACTCCAGTCACCCCAGACTCAGTGCCAATGTGTTCCAAGACCGATTCAAACTCTCAAATGGCCCTGACTCTGCATTGCTTAGTGTACTTCTTCGACTTTTATCTATGCTTAAATGGAACATAGGAAAATTGGGGAGATAAAACAGAGCTGGACTGAATCTAATGCCCGCTGGAAGGACCGTGAAGCTGCTGGGGTAAACAGCTTGAGATCTTTGTGGGAAATTCACTTTTTTAAAAAAAAAATAAATTTTTTTTATTGGTTTTTAAAACAAACATAAACAAACAAAACATAAAACCATCAAGCCATCTTCCATATATATACATATCCATATATATACTTTTGAGCACGTGACTTTCAGTGTCTTGAATATTGCATCGTCTTGCAAATCCCACTCCTTGTTTCCTTAAAACAGAGATCTCCAAATGTGGTAACTTTAAGACTCATGGACTTCAACTCTTAGAATTCTCCAGCTAGCATAGCTGGCTGAGGAATTCTGGGAGTTGAAGTCTACAAGTCTTAAAGTTGCCAAGTTTGGTGACCCCTGCCTTAAAAGGACAGAAGCAAATTGAAATTCACCCATGTGTTGCTTTGTCTTTTGCTTGTCTCCTCAGGTTTCAGGTAGGCTCTTCTCCGTCAGTTGTGATCTTCCCCTCTGACAGCCACCAAAGCAGCAGGATACTAAGAACAGCAGAAACCATGACCCTGGCAGGTATGGAAATGCTTCCCTCTCTGGGCTTTCTTCCATTGGCCTTTGAACATAGTATAAACATCCCCTGATAACATCTTCACTCTGCTATATCCTTATAATGTTATCATATGTCACTCTTAATAGATAATCAGAGCTGGAAGGGACCTTGTAGGTCATCTAGTCCAACCCCCCGCCCAAGCGGGAGACCCTACACCATTTCTGACAAATGGCAGTCCAATCTCTTCTTGAAAGTCTCAAGGGATGGCGCTCCCACAACTTCCGAGGGCAAGCTGGTCCATGGGTTGATTGTTCTCACTGTCAGAAAGTTCTTAGTTCTGCAGGGGTTACAGTAGCATGACTTTTTAGTAGGATAACCCTTTAGACCAGGGGTGTCAAACTCCCATTGTCATGTCGTTGTCACGTGATGTATTGGGATTCTCCCCCCCACTTTGCTGGACCGGGTGTGGGTGTGGTCAGCACATGATGTATCAGGTCCGTGCTCCAGCAGTTTGACAGCCCTGCTTTAAACTGAAACTTCACTGCCCATGCTTTTAGTGGCACAGGAAAATGGGGTCAGCTTAGTGCTCGTTGGCCAATTCAGGCTTGTTTTGGCATCACTCTTCCATCTCTGATTTTTCTCCTATATTATCATTTTCTTCCTTTTCCCTGTAGGAATAGCTGGGGATTGTGATTATTGGGCTTTCGGAGGTTTGCATGACTATTGGCCAGCGCAAAAGCCAGGCTGGGTCATTTTTCTAAGCCTACTGAACATTTTTCTAAGCCATTCAGCAGTCTTACCAGATCAGCAAGGAGAACCAATCTTTTTGGCTTTCTCAGGCTAAACTCTGCACTGTATAACAGGGAAAGTTTCTACCCCTTCAACCTCATGACCAATCCTATCTCTGCATCGTTTATGGGATTGGAGGAAGGTTTCCCACTGGATGGTGCCATTTGGAAATGGAGAAGGCACAGAGCCTAATATAAGGGCAGCAGATTTCACACGGATGCAGTTTTCTCTTATCAGATAACACCTACATTTGGCAGTTGGGAAATTTAAGAAAAACACACATGAGGGAAAATGGCTCTGTTTACACACTGTACCCACACAAAGGACCATTAATCTACTGTGATTTGAATCTGGCAACTTTAAGATGCCTGGACTTCAATTCCCCAAATTTCCCAGCCAGCCGCTGCACTATATTAATCAGAGAGCAATCAGATCGACCCTAGCTGGCAGCAAAGAATTCTACTTTTCGGTATCTTTCTTTCTTTTTACTTTCATTGAGAAATTGTCTCCATAGAGAAATTCTCCAATGTCTCCTGCCAGTTCTTACTTAATTTGATGCTGGCTGGCACATTTGCTTCTGCAAATCCTTTCAAAGGAAAAGAGAATCCTAGTGACATTCTCACAGCTGGACTATAGTGCACATCCACTGGTTTAGTTGTAAAGTGGCCAAAAAAGGAGACGGCATGTGTGAGAGTCCTGTCTTTCACTCTTCCATACTCACATCAGAGATCCACTGTGATGACCCAGGGCATGGCACAAAGGCAACACAGTCAGATAATCAGTAGGAGTCCCTTTATTAGCTCCAACTTTGCCCCCAATGTCCTGGTTACCTTCTGGTCTGAAGAAAAACTCTCCCAGGAACAGCCTTTGGCTGCAGAGAATCAAGTCCAAAACATGGTCAACAAAAACTGTAACTATAAGTCCAATCAAGGCAAAATGAGGTATTTATTCTTGCAGGGCAAGAGAAGGAATTCCAGACATGAAGGAACGGTAGTTATTCAACGCCGTTGGGAGGATGCCAGGAACGTAGATAAACAAAGTTAACACAAGATAAACTCACATTTGTTCCCCACAGATGCCGCACTCAGCATGCATCTCTTTTAAACTCTCTTCCCAGCTTTGGCTAATGAAGGGAATCAGGGCCCTTTCCTCCCCTGTAAGTCACGCAACCCATGTTGCTCTCTTCTCTGTTCCTCCCTGCATGCCCTAGGATGAAGAGGAAGTGGGCCTGGGTCTTCCTCTGAACTCCCTCTCCCTTGTTCTACCTCTCCCCCACTCTGCCCAGCTGGACTTTGCCCTTCCCCAGTTTTCTCCACAGTGGAACCCCACTCTACTCCCTGTCAGCTGTTTGTCTTCCTCCTCAGGTTCAGACTCTGATAGGGGCATGGCATCTGCTGTCTCCCTGGCTTCCCATGGTTTAGTTAAATCCCCAAGGAAGATATCAAGAGTATATTTTCCCCCATGGGTATGTTTTAGCAGTAATGAAATTAGGGGGAAATGAAGAAATCATTGAGAGATTCCCCCCCTCCCATGCCTAGAGGAATTCAGATCAATCATCTATTTAATTTCTCTCCTTGCAAATTTGCTGGAAAACTTCTAAAGACCATGGGACGCCATGGGACACCAAATTAACTAATTGATTTGTCTACTGTCTATAGGGGTGCCTGTTTCCTCTCTTTCCCAGTTCCAGAACTTCCTTTTGAGATGCAGTCACCAGATCTGGACACACAGCATTTCAAATGCAACTGTATTATGGATCTGTATAAACGATTAGCGGAACTCAGCATCTGAAAATGAAGCCAATAGCAGCTCTTTGTCTCTTCCTCCTCCTCCATTCCTTTCCATATCTGCTATGAGATGAGCAAGAAAGGGGTGGGGGGGGGAGGAATCCGAGGGCAAGAACAAATGCCAGGGAAATTGCTAATAAAACTTCCTCTTTTGTAATCGTGTTTTAATTTGCTTGTTTCACACAGCCTACAAAGAAAAAATGAAAGAGCTCCCTCTGGTGTCCCTCTTCTGTTCCTGCTTTCTCTCAGATCCTTTAAATAAACCGTCATATAAATATGAAGGTAAACGGAAACTAATATTATCTTGCCAAGAAAGCAAGATGTTTGTTTGTTTGTTTGTTTTCTTTTTTCTTTTCTTTCTTTCTTTTTTCAAAAACAGCTAAGCTAACCAACTTTCATGTTGCCTGAGTGCAGCTGCTAGATTTCTAGCTGAGCCAATAAAATTAGTTGTGTGAATTTAGCCTTTAAGAAGAACTATATTGCTGCTTCATTTTTATCTCTGGCTCAGTGTCATTTGCCAGCATGATGGAAGAATAGGCATCAAATAAGGGATTTTGCACACACTGGTTTCCAAACTTGGAAACCCTTTCCTTTCATGCCTACTTCTTTGCTGATGAATCCCATCATGTCTGCACCAAAAGATCTCAATGTTGCAGGGGAAACTTCAGATCCTCCGAGAGATACAGATTTCCAGTAGTTTTCCCTGTGGCCTAGAGTAAATATGCCCCTTGGTGGTTTAACTGCTTCTGGCATACTGATTCTTCAGCTTTTCTCCCCCTTTTGTTTAGTAGACACTGTAGATCTGACCTGGTGTGTCATATCTGACATGGAGGTAATTGAACTCAACAAGCGCACCTCGGGACAATCCTTTGAGGTTATCCTTAAGCCACCGTCCTTCGATGGAATCCCTGAATTCAATGCCTCTCTGCCTCGACGGCGTGATCCTTCATTGGAGGAGATCCAGAAGAAGCTAGAAGCTGCTGAAGAACGGCGTAAGGTGAGAAATAGTTTGTATCTGCATGATATCCAAAGAGCAGTTAAGAAATTTAATAGGTTTATGGTAACAGCAAGCCACCTCTTTGGGTAGTAAAGCATATTATTCATTCATCCATTGAGCTAACCATGCTGTTTTGAGAAGTCTCCCTATCATTCTGCAAAATAAGGGCTTTGCCTTCCCCAATGGCACCAACCTTGGTAAATAGTTTAGACCAGTGGCCCCCAACCGTTTTTGTCCCATGGCCCAGTACCGGCATCACAAAATGATCCATGGACCGGTACCGGCATCAGCACGCACGACCAAGGCAAGGCGAGTCGAGCGACCGGCCAGCCAGCCGTCCCCCGCTTCTCCCCGCCATCTTCAACTCCTCCTTTGTACCTTTGTTGATGGGCTTTTCGGGCTCTTTCTTAATCTCCTCCTTACACGAGACTCCACCGCCATCGGGACGGCTCTTCGTTCGAAGCCGCCCTCCCCCTCGACGAAACTAAGGCGCGAGGGTTCCTTCAGCACCCGAACGCCGCTTTCCAACCGACGACCGACAAGCTCACCCGGAAACACTTTCTCAAGCACCATCGAAACAAGATGGCGGCACCCACTTCTTTGCGGCCCGGTAAAAATGATCCACGGACCGGTACCGGTCCGGGGCCTGGTGGTTGGGGACCACTGGTTTAGACATTGTAGGGAATAATTTGATTGTGTGAATAAATCAACAGGGAATCTGCTTGCTCTTTTTAATGCCAGGAAAAGTATGAAGTGTTGTTCTAGAAAAATAAATTGTTCTCAGGATTCCAGCAAATTACTCCAGAAAAATAACTCCCTTGTTTGGATGCCTCCAGAATTATGGATATCAACTTCTAGAATTCTCCACAGAGCCATGCTGGTTGAGAATTGTGGAACTAAGCCCAATATCTGGAAGGGTCCCAAGTTGGGGAAGTCTGCTCTAAAAGACAATATATAGTTGCTAATTTCCTGTGTTCTAACTAAACTTTACAATGAATTTGAAAAACTGATAATTTTGCACTGCCTTGCTGAGTTCACTCAATGTACTAGCTGGATCAGATAACGGCTTAGTGCTTAGTCCATTTATAGAATATGCAAAAACTAATTTTAATCTTGGTTACAGGATTTTTTTTTTTGCATAAAGTGTTGTATAAACCCAGCTTCTTTGGTCTAGTTTAGGGTCCAATATATTTGTCCCCCTGTGAAGGAGATGGGCAATTCCAAAATGTGAAAAATAAATGATGCAAACCGGATTAAGTATATTGTACAAACTCAGCCTCTCTCTTAATTGATATTATTCATATACATGTTTTATTACAGTTGAGATATTTAAGCATTTGTTTAATCTAACCATTGAAAAGTTACCCTGTGGTAGGCTGGGCTAAGAGTGATTGCCCTAAAAGCATCCAGTAAGGCCTGTGGTTGATTATGGACTTGACACTAGATTTCTCTGCTCCTAGTTCAGCACCTTAAGCTCTTTAGTTCAGCACTACAGCACCTTAGCTTTCCAATATTACCATTTGGCAAAATTTCCCCACTGAGTGGGGAAATACGCTCTTAAAGCACACTTGCCTTGTTTTATTAACGTTCAATATTTACTAAAATAATAAAAAAACAGAAGAAAATAATGTCTAATTCAAATGAATGTAATTCATGGGTGAAATGTTAGAAGAAATGATTCCATTTGTTCATAACATGAAATATAATACAGTCTTGTAAATAAGCATAATAATTGAAGTCTTAGGCATGTGCTTTACATAAATGTATATAGAAGGGAGCCATTTTTACCTTCTCCTGTGAACAATGAGGAGGAAAGGAATTCAAGCAAAATGTTTGCTAGCTCTTCAACTGCTTACAAAGCAGTTCTAGGGAATGGGCTGATCTCAGGAAGAAAGAAATTGGCGATGCTTTCCTCCTTACAAATTATTGATAATCCATTAGGAGGCATTTATTCATTCATCCTTGTTCCTGCCTGACCTTGATAGGTAATCATGAATAGCTTCTGGACTACAACTATGGGGGAAAGAAATGAACGAATTGTTGATCTTGTTGATGACCCAAGCTCTGTAAAGGACCTTGGAATACTCACCTCTAATGATCTAAGTGCTAGAGCCCACTGCAACTACATAGCCAAAAAGGCATTAAGAGTTGTTAACGTAATCCTACGTAGCTTTTTCTCTGGTAATATCACACTACTAACTAGAGCATACAAAACATTTGCTAGACCAATACTCAAATACAGCTCATCAGTCTGGAACCCACATTACGTATCTGATATTAGCACAATTGAGAAAGTCCAGAAATATTTCACAAGAAGAGTTCTCCACTCCTCTACTCGTTGTAGAATACCTTATGCCACCAGACTTGAAATTCTAGAACTAGAAAACCTTGAATTACGCCGTCTTCGGTCTGATTTAAGCATGGTATATAAAATCATACATTGCAATGTCCTACCTGTCAATGAATACTTCAGCTTCAACCATAACAACACAAGAGCACACAATAGATACAAACTCAAAGTTAATCGCACCAAACTTGATTGCAGGAAATACGACTTCAGCAATAGAGTGGTCAATGTCTGGAATACTCTACCCGACTCTGTAGTCTCTTCCCCAAACCCCAAAAACTTTAACCTTAGACTGTCTACTATTGACCTCACCCCTTTCCTAAGAGGTCTGTAGGGGGCGTGCATAAGCGCACCAACGTGCCTACCATCCCTGTCCTATTGTTTCTCTTATTCTTCTTTTATTTTTCTTATATGTACCCATTTCATGTATTCACAACTATGTATACACTTATACTTATTATCTTGTAAACAATTGGCAAATCAAATAAATAAATAAATAAATGAATTCCTTTTCTTGACTCAGCTTAGATCCCTGGTTAACTCTTTCCCTGTCCCCTTGATCTTAAGAAGTGATCTTATCCACTCCTTTCTTCTTGGAAATACTTTAGGAAATATTTTTTTACAGCCCTGGGTTCTTTGTTTGCTTCCAATATATCTACTATTTAGGCTGGAAATTACATCCAGGTTAACACATTCAAAGTTTGAAGTGATTTCCCAAGAGAGCGGCTTTTCTATGGTAGCTTTTGTTAAGTCACAGGAGGCTTCTCAGTTTACTGTCAACAATTATACAAGCCTTTTTGATAACTCCACTTTCAACAAAGCTTATGCATAATGTAATGTTCCACTGTAAAGGCAGGCCTTTGCTCTCCCCTTGTTTGGATCATCATGCATGAAACCAGAGGTGATCAAGTCAACCTCCTGAAAATCGAGTAGAAAAATCAATTTGCACAAAGGAGAAATTGCTAAAATAAATTAAAGTATTCATTATCTGGGTGTCTTTGACTGATAACCCCCTCTGTATCTCTGCGTTACCCATGTTCATTCATGTGGTCAGTATGTTCAGATAGCAATAAACAAACCTCTCTTTTGCCAGTATCTTAAGTGTAGCTTTATTTGGCAAGACACAAGCAAATAATACCTTTAAGTATATTTCCCCGACCTTCACTTGAAAACTTTTGCAAGATTACATAAGCATAGAATTTATAAGGAAAAGGACAAGAACAGGAAAAGTTTCAAGTATGTAAGGCAGGAATATAAATATGTAAGGGAATTGTAGACCCATGACAAATTAAAGTTAGGATTTCAGAGAGGAATCAAATATAGGGCCAAACTTAACCCACGTCACCAACTTTGCAATGGCTTCCTCAATGAGGTACCTTTTATGCCATCTTTGCTCTATTTTTGACATCGGCCAAAGGAATTATCCTTCTTCTTCCAGGCTTTTAATCATGATGGTGGCCATAAAGGTATGATCAAAGCCCTCCTTATTTTATATGCATTGAAGCTGGGGCTTAGATCATGGACGCCATCTTAACTTTTTTTGACCATGCCTTATAGAGATGCTTGATAGGGCTTTAAAGTAGGTTTCTGTTTGAATTGTATTGTAAACCATTTTGAGATTTGTTTTAAACCTGTACAAATTAAACCTGCAGATATTTTATGTAAATGAATCAGGTGCCACTGATTTCTAGTAGAAGCTGAAAGAAATGATCTAGCTTTCACACAGACTTGCTATATTGACAGAAGCAGAAAACAAAGCTGGGCAAATTCTCTTTAAAAACAACAACTAGGGGAAGTAATCCATCCCACATAAGTGTTATCACGAGGCCATGAACAATATTTTGTAAAATGCTATGCTGCAATCAATAGGTTACTTGTTTTTGCACTACATGATCTTTGAAAGGTCATATGTGATCCATCTAATTACAATTACTTGGCATTTTACAAATTAAAACCCAAGCTAGTCTGTCTGAGCTGTTGGTTAATAGTATTCTATAAAGTAGTCCTTAGGATACGTAGAAGGAAGTGAGATCCTAACTGCAAGGGAAAGTGGTATAAGTTAAATTGAAAGACTTTGTCCCAACAGTGTTACTTTGACCAGAGAGAAGAAGGCTGGAGATATAAAAAAATCTGCATACATGACACTGAACAGGGTTTCCTTGCTGTATTTAAGCATTCAACAGGTGAAAGAAGACCCAAATGTATCTTGATGAACATAGATTACAAAAAAAGAAATGTGGTTGGAAAATTGAGATTGACAAATCTCAAAATCCCTATGAGGCAATTGGAAATCTGTCTTCTTAACCATTCATCAATTTAGCTATGCACTGTTGGACTAATCCAACAGTGTTCACATAATCCTAAGCCACCCATAGTCAGGTTGGACAAAAGATTTTAGAAAAGGAAAAGAAGGAAATAGCGATATAACATTTGGGAATGCCATCTCCATTGCTGTCTATCCCCATTCCTATTTTAAATCAAGTAAAATAGAAAGCTTCTTATAAAAGGAATAATGCATATATTCACACATATATATATTGAATAATTCACACACATATATTGATATTTGTGCCATGACATATTCCAGCTGTGTTCATCTATTGTTGCAAAGCGCTTAGCAATAAATATCCCCAATTTTGTTTTTGGGCCAGGGTAGCAGGCAAGAGTTAGAAATTAGCCAACTCTGACATACACAGGAAACAGATTACTGAAGCTCAGTACTGATTTTTGACTTTTTAACAGATTGTCTTTGTATCGTCAGTCATTTAGGTGTTGGAATTTCTTTCTTATCAAGTTGTCAGGTCTAATCTTGTTATCAATGTAAATTAGCCCAGTAAAGCATAGATTGTATTAGCTGAGATTTATTTGGAGCCTCCTGTATCTAACCTAGGATCTGCTGCATTGCCTTCAGTTAATGCACCCTATATATGTACCTCATTCTCATATTATTCTATAGTACCAAGAAGCAGAACTCCTGAAGCATTTGGCAGGAAAACGGGAGCATGAACGGGAGGTCATCCAGAAAGCCATCGAGGAGAACAACAATTTCATCAAAACTGCCAAAGAGAGGCTGATACAGAAAATGGAGTCCAACAAGGAGAACCGAGAGGCACATTTAGCTGCTATGTTGGAACGTCTTCAGGAGAAGGTGAGGGGTCAACACTAGTAAGGATGGAGATGGAAAGTGTGGGTTGCACTGAATGAAGACATATGTGCTAGCCCACAACGTGTGTGAAGAAAAACAGGATCACTCCTTTTTCAGGATTTTTATCTTCAGTTCAAATGGTTATTGATATCGAGAGATGTCCAACTTCTCAAGAAGATTAATGGAAGCCATGGGAGTCCTATACATGAGCAGCATGGTGGCCTAAAGGTGGAGTTCTCACCTCACAATCAGGAGGCTGTGAATTTGATCCTAGCAGCAGATATTTCTCTTTCTGAGGGCAAAGAGGAAATATCTGCTGTGAGTTCTGCATAGGTGTCAGGAAGGGCGTCCGACCAGCTGCATTCAGTCACCCAGACTCCACCCCAATGCAAGGGATTACAGGGTAGTTAAAAGGAGAAAAAAAAGCAAGTCCTATGCATGAATTTGCCTATCCCACTAAATTGATGACTCTAGCCCAAGGGTGTCAAACACAAGGCCTATGGGCCGCAACAGGCCGCGATGTGGTCGGATCCAGCCCATGGGGCCATCCTGGAAAATGAAAGGGGCCAGCCCACATGGCTTTGGCCTGGTCTACCCAGTGCAACGAGGAAACATCGAGCCAGTGTGGCTTCGGCCCAATCTACCCAGTGCGAAGAGGAAACATGTCAGCAGTTTAGGGAGTGGCGTAAAGCTGGCCATGCCCACCCAGTTGGCCACACCACCCAGTTGGTCATGCCCACCTGGCCCCCCGAGGTCAACCACAGCCCTGATGCGGCCTTCAGTGATATTGAGTTTGACACCCCTGCTCTAGCCACAACTTGTGACGTCTTTTTTTTTTTTTTTTTTTTTTAGGATAAGCATGCTGAGGAGGTCCGGAAGAACAAGGAATTAAAGGAAGAGGCCTCAAGGTAAAGAGGCCCTCAAACAGATAACAATTTGGACTGACAGCTCCAAGGAAAGATGGCAGCAGGCCGCAGTACATGGTGGAGGCTGCCTTAATGCAAAGTGTTGACTGAGGAACTGGGATTGTCCTCTGCTTTCGTTGTTTGTGAATGTAAAGAAATTGATGGGAGAAGCCATCTCGTGTGTTTCAGGGAGGGAGGGGGACATGAGGGGAAAAGGAAGTTGTGAAGAAGAAATGTTCGTATCTGGGGAGGGAAGAGGGTGGGCATGGATGAGAAGACACCCCCCAAACAATGAGATGATTTTGTTTTCTGTTCCCACATGGGTCCTTCTGAAGATGGAATCCAAATACTGGAGGGGTGGTAAGAATACCAATTTTGGAGGGAAGTATCCAAGAAGGGGTGGGGGTGGGCTGGGGCGATGGAAAGTAATCTAATTTGGTGATGAGCCCAGAGCAAGCAGAGGAAGTAAAATAACCTCTGGGATGAATATTGTCTTGTGTGTTTTGCCATTGTTAGTCCCACGTGTGATTAAAAACAGTCCTCATTTCTGTGTTCCTTTGTAACTTTCCATCGTGTCTCTTAACTCCAAGGTATTATAAGTCTGGTATTGCTTAACTAAAAGTGGCTGGGGTGCTGATTTTGACCCCACAGGCCTCTGTTTTAAAAATAACTGTAACAATAAATGCCTTTTGCCAGAGATTCACTATGGTCAGCTATGTATATAATTTCCCTTGCTTTTCCATTCAGACCTGTAGTGGAGAACCAAGTTCTTTGAAGGATTATGAGTTTAGGACAATTGAAATATTATTTCCTTGGGATATTAATAACAAAAGAATGTTTCTATGGATACCTTCTCAAGTAGAAGCTATGAAACTGTGATAAAACAAGCAGAAGCGTGATTTAAACACAAACACAAACACACACACACACACACACACACACACACACACAAACACCTGACTTCAGAACATAAGCTTATAGATCTTTATACTGCTAAGAATCTGAGGAGTTTATTCTTAAAATAAGACTTTGAGATTTCAGAATTCTTTCATAAATTTCCCTCGCATCTACACATTGGTTAACATTTTCTTCAACTTTACAACATTCCCCTTTAAGAAGCTTGTTTGATAAATTGCTTTTAGAAAGAAAAGCCATCTCTTGAAGAACATATTGCATTTGATAATGTAATATTTAGCATCATTTTTAAGGAATACATTAATAAGGCAGGTTTGATAAGGCACTAAGTTTAAAGCCATACAGCCGATTTGGTTGTGGGAAAACAATGTTAACAGAGAGCAATATATGAATGACCAAATGGTAGGACTAAATAAGGTATTTAATTTCTTATTGCTTTTCAGTGAAGAGTTAAACATCCTATCTGTACTCCCCATTCTTAAGAAGTTCTAGAGATATATTTATTAGATTAATGTGTTGCTATACTATTGTTTCTCAACCTGGGCGATTTTAAGATGTCTGGACTTCAACTCCTGGAATTCCCCAGTCAGCCTTGTCTGCACATCTGAAGTCACCAAGGTTGAGGAGGCATGGCGGCTCAGTGGTTTAATGATGCTGGAGATGGTCTTCGCTTTAGCAGTTCAAGTCCTAGCACTGTGTGATGGGGTGAGCTCCCATCACACACCTCAGCTTCTGTTCACCTAACAGTTGGAAAGCATGTTCTATGCAAGTAGATAAATAAGTCCCATTTGGTAGGGAGACGAATTGGCGCTCTATGCAGGCAGTCAGATTTCTGCCGACTTTGAACCTTCCTTGTTGCAGTACCTGTTTATGAGGCGGGTCCAGGGAAGGGAGAGGGCCTAGGATGGCACTTATCTTTCTTTCTGGGGCAAAGGCAGCTCACCCTCCTCTGGCACATCTTGGGAAGCACATGAGCATGTCCTACAACACAGCTGGCAGCCAAACTACTATTCTCCAATAGCATTGTGGTCTCCTGGCTAATATAACAATACCACATGCTAACAACAACAACAGCAACAGCAAAAACAACCAGGATTGAGAAACAGTATGCTTAGTGGCGGGATTCAATTTTTTTTTACTACCGGTTCTGTGGGTGTGGCTTGGTGGGCATGGCTTGGTGGGCATCGCAGGGGAAGGACACTGCAAAGTTTCCATTCCCACCCCACTCCAGGGGAAGGATACTGTAAAATCTCCCCTTCCCACTCCTGGGAGAAGGTACTGCAAAATTCCCATTCCCTCCCTGCTCCTGAGGGAAGGTTATTGCAAAATGTCACTCCCTCCCCACCCCACTAACCTGCTTTCCAGCTCTGTTCTCCTGTGCAGGACAACAAAAAAAGACCCAGCCGATCAGCTGGGACTCAGCAACAAAAGAAGAGCCAGACAATCAGCTGGGACTCGGGAGGCAGAGAATGGATGGGGGCAGGGCTAGTCTGTTCAGACCCAAGCCTTGTTCAAATTAAACAAACACAGACTGTGTATAAAAGCAAGCCTTTTTTAATGCGGCGCTGGGAATTCAGTGCATTCCCAACCAAGAGACATTTAAACCTAATTGTCTGACATCAAAAGCAAGCCCTTTCAAGGTTGCAAAAGGCTGCCAAGAACAGAAGACTAATTACTGATTAAATATCCATCGACAGAAGTTTCAAAAACAAACCGGGGTAAGCAGGGCTTCAACAAGGAGTGCAAAGAACTTCTTTGCTTCCTGCAAAGTACACATCCCTGAGGGCTGGTTTTTATCACTTATGGGAGGGGCCATCACCTTCCAGCCTTACTCCTGAGTCGCCCTTGCTGCTTCAGCTGCTCTTTCCTTCGAGCAGCCCTGCGCACTGGGCACGGGCTCCCTGGGGTCCTCTGTGTCACTTCTGCCAGACTCTACAAGCTCCAAAGGCAGCACCCCACTCTCCCATAATCCTGGCCCCATCCCTGCATCACAAGCAGGCCCTTCATCCGAGTCCTCGCTATCAGAGACCTCTGCCATCCGCACCTGCTGCTGGCGAACCCCAACACAGTCAGAGGTGGCATTTGCCGGTTCTCCAAACTACTCAAAATTTCCGCTACCAGTTCTCCAGAATTGGTCAAAACCTGCTGAATACCACATCTGACTATGCTATATATTTCCCCCAAATGGTACTCTAGTCTTTGGAATAGTGTTGAGGTGTTCCTATTTGTGAGATGCTGTGTTCCTGCACATTCTGAAGCACAATGTCTGGATAAAATCTGAAATGTGCACAATCCTAATATTTTATACTACAGTATAGGCTCCCAGTTTTTGTGGTCCTCAAACAAGAGAACCAGTGTACAAATAAATAAACGATGAAGCTAAGTTGGTGAAGGTAATGCTTAAGTTTTCTCTACATTTTCAAGTAGAAAGGATGATTTTGTACAACATAACTTGGCTAAAATATTGTCTGATTTGTATCTCAAACAAGTGTAGTCACATTTATCTTTCCTAATGTAAATATAGTACACAATGTATAGATAATAGCAACCAAACGGATTAGGTTGTGCAAATGCAACAGCTAAAATGTAAACTGACCTCCTCAAGCATGTTGTGTGAACCCACATAATTGTATTATTTTATTAAACCATAATTCAGTGAAGTCAATATGTTGTGCAAATACAGCCATAGAGGTTTTTTTACAGCAGCTCCCTTCTGGGATGTTGTATACAAACCATTTATATTTGCAATGTTTGCTGAGTTAAAGACTGTATTTTGGGCTGAGTGCCCTGTTAATTTCATTCATTGACATATCAGTTAATTAAAATGTAATCTATTTAATGTGATTAGTTGGCAGTCCTTCAACCCTTTCATCGTTAGGACACATTTAAAATTATAATCTGATAAAACCTTTTAAAAGTTTTGGGAGGAAAACACACCAAAAAGCTTTTGGGAAGCACATGGAACCCTCTGTGCACATTTCCAGCCTTCCAGCCCCCTTGGTCTGATCAAACTTGCCTCCAGAATTTGTGAATGTTCCAATGCTAGAAGTTTTAAAGAAGAGATTAGATAACCATTTGTCTGAAATGCCTGAGCAGAGGGTTGGACTAGAAGACCTCAAAGATCCCTTTCAACTCTGATTTGATTCAATCTTCTCTTCTCTTCTCTTCTCTTCTCTTCTCTTCTCTTCTCTTCTCTTC